AGAGGCTTAAAAACCGGTCTGGTCTCTCTCGGTCGTACTCGGTTGCAAGAGTGTGAACGGGCCTTAACACTCTTATGTTTGTAGATTATTTTATATTGCTTCTTCTTCTTGATACTGCATTTCTTTGCCGTGCACTGACTTGTACACGGTACCCATCACAAGTAATCAAAATACTTGTAATCGTCCGATACGGTAGACGATGGGCCCTCCGGTAAGAACTGCGCATGCGCTACCCAATAAGATTCGCGCATGCGCAGTTCGTACCGGAGGGCCTATCGCATATCGTATCGGACGTGCAAAGAACGGTCCCTTAAAACTCTCTATTATTCGGCGATTGTAATCGAATAATGAACAGCACGAAAAACCTGTTTTCAAACCGGCAGAAAAATTGTTCGTTCTTTAGTCTTAAGTAATCAGAAAAGTAGCGGTGATTTATTTTTTCGACTAACGTTTAATTTTTTATAAAGTAATCGAGTAATTTAATTGAATACTTTTTTACCGAGGGTAATTGTGATCCAATACTGATTTCGACTAACGTGTACAACAAGTCCCATTAGACACCGAGATTTCTAGAACTGCAGGGATCGTGGCTTATCGTGTCAACGCTTCTTAATTGTTTCCCGGTTCGTTCTTCAGCGTGCTTATCGGCTAATGCTGCAATCTCATTGGCTGCGTAGCGATAATGAAACGCCCGCCCCCCCCCCCCCCCCCCCCGAAAAAAAAAAAAAAGAAAAAAAAAGTGGCTTGCTCGGATTATTTTTTTTCTTCTCGTTCTTGTCTATTCCCCATGACAAAAATTAATGCGGGTATGCGTTTTCATACAGTTTAATTTTAAAGTTGCTTTATAGAATCGCACGTATATGCCTCGGTGTCAACACGTTACATGTAATTCATTGATTAGGTTCCCGAATTAGAGGGCGGATACGTGGTTGTTCGGAAAATGTGTGAGCAATATTTAAAACAAATTATTTTCAACAAGTTTTTTTTCTTCTTTTTTTAAGCGGAGGATTTGAGTTACAGTTACGTCTTTAACGATATGCTATATAATTTGTTGTAGAATTTTGGCTGGCTGCGGCACGGTTCGTAAAGCTGTGTTTCCAGGAAGTAACTACCTAAACGCACTTAGTTTGCTGTTTTCGCAATTTCCATCACGAGACACTTCGTATGTTATACATTATAACGGTGTCTGCGCGTGCAACAATATCAAGCTCATGCTTTTCCGGTACCTCTAATTTAGCTCAACTACAGCTACTTCTCAAAGCTGTGCGGAGGGCAAGTTCGTCCGCTTCTTTTGTACGGGTTTTGGTGACGTCAGAACAACGACGAGCTCTGATTGGTTCTGAGTGAAGAATAGTGGGCAGACCTCAAGGCAGCTTGCTTTGAGGTCTATACCAGGGTGTAAGATAGACAGGTGGGAAAACGGCCCCTAGAAGCCTACCGCAGCGCCGTGACCGGATTGTGTACTCGTCTGCTTGCGGGTACCCCCGATTTGCGACAGATGGCGCTGCGGCGAGAGGAAAAAAATTGGAATCGGATTTGCATGTAAATTTATGGGAGAGCGCGCAAAATAAACCGAGATCACGACATTCTTTCATTGAAAATCCAGGAGAAATCATCTCGGTCAGTTTAGCCGGTCGCCACCGGTCGCCCACCCGGAGTGAGAGTTCGCGGTGCTCCACATAGATGGCGCCACAGAAAAAGAGATACCATTGCTACCACAGGCACTGGGCTTTCATCCATGGACAGATAGATGGACTGTCGACGTCACTAAACGACGATTAGAAAATTGGTGGATAAGTAGAGAAAAGAGGGGAAAGTGAAAGCCACCTATGGCTGGGACACGACATACGTGACCACCCGTTTCAAAGGGGATAGCCACAAGCATCATCATCATCATCATCAACCCGAGGGGGACACAATCCGGTCGCTCATTTGGCTCTCGTTTCCCCACCTGTCTATCTTACACCCTGGTCTATACCCACTATCCTTCAATCAGAGCCAATCAGAGCTCGGCGTTTTTCTGACGTCACCGCAACTCTTGAGCAAGTAGCAGACGACTTGCTCTCTGCATGTGTTAACAGATTCTCAAATTAACGTTAACTGACTCTTGGCGTACGTCAGTGCTAGGTGTTTTCACTGCCTTATGCTCTTCCGCGAGAAGAATGCTTTACCCGTACCATGGCATGTGTGTTTTGTGAGTGTAATTATACAGCCTGAAGTTTCTCTCGGTAGATGACCAATTTAGCCAGTGCAGTACTAGCGGTAGCCCGATGTCTTTAACTTGCACCAATATAGCCAGAAAGTAACTGCATCTTATGAATAATTGCAACTCAGTCAAAAAAAAAAAAGAAATGCAAGGGAATGTTTTTTTTTTTTGGTCAGTTGTGTCGTTTCTATTGCGAACCTCTTACCTTCCATAACACATAGGCGTCTGGTAAGCTTCGAGCGTGCATGCACAGTCGAAGCACGACGGAAGATTACGTGCTGGAGGCTGGGCACCTGAAAGAGGAGCCCCGCGTTTCTTCTCCTGTTCTGTATTTGTAACTCGTGGTTGATTTCATTCGAGTGTAAGTAAAACTGTGACAGTAGCCTAATTTCTAAGAATCACTTTTAGAGACCTGGTCTGGTTCGTTGCTTGTTGCTTCAAACAACGTCTTATACGTTGCTCTTGAATAGACGTCACATCAGCTGGCATTGTGGTGGGGTTACTGCTGAGCGTCTACCTACAGAAGCACACACATCGCACCACCGAATCTGCTGTCCTCAGCAAATAGAAGTAATGACCACTAGCATCCAGTCAACAAATGCGTTTGAACAACCACACGGATGATGATGGAAGAAGGCCAGTCACTGGGACGGTCAGCCAACTATTACAAAGACGTATGATCCGCAGCAAAGCCTATAGAAGCCTGAGCGTTTTGGCAGCTGCAGCTTCTGATGCGGGAAAGTTCGTAAATCGAAGTGGAGTATGGGAGACGATGATGACGGTGACGATGATCTGTGGCTCCCGATTCTCTCTGAGTCGGACAATCCCGTAGCCCTAGGGGGGCCTAGCATGTGGGGGCTCACATCCAGGTTCAACCGTCGCGCCGCTAGAGGCTAAGTTGAGAACTAAACTCAAGGGGACTAGAACTACATGAGGTATTGGTTTGTGCTCCTCACGCAACACTCGTCGGCGTTGGGCTGGCGCTCGCGTTCAGTCAGTGAAGCACCAATTGAACACGCGCCCCAGTCGAACTCGAACGTGGCACTCGTCTCCAGTCTCTGTCCCACACTCAATTCAAGAAGATGAAGTAAATAATTCAGTCCACATGCCTTATGTTAAAGCTCCCCAAGTATACAGTTCATTATCCTCGCCAATAGCAATGCCCCGAGCGCTGAGGGCGATATATCCACTGGCGACCTTAGGTCGGACTGCTGCTGCCGAGCTTGGGTAAACGGCGAGCCTCCACAACGCTTCTGTATGTGCATTCCACGCCGTAGATGTCGTTATTAGTTTGACTGACGTTAAGCAGGAGTTCATTTTGAACATGCGATGTGGACAGCTACGCTCGCAAGTGTGACGTCCAGTGGGTCACACCAATGCCAATCCTCCCTAACTATGACATCAACTTCTATAAGAAAGCATCGGTGCGACACTTGTTCGCACTATTCATAAGCCACAAAAAGTAAAGTGAGGAATTGTATTGGCGAGTCGTGCAGAAAATAAAATGCGTCGGTTCACTCCCATTCGCAACGAACATTTATTTTTGAAAAATCGCGCTTTCCTTAATTATGCTTAAAAAGCCACCACCTTATGAAAGCTGGAGGATGGCGGGCACAGGTTGACCAAACGCACTAGTAGCAGTAAAAGTTGAGAAAAAAAAAAAAAGAAACCCCAAAAACATTAAAGGGATACTACAACGAAATTTCGGCGCTCATATTTTGGTCTATGTGCGTTCAAAAGAGCAGTATCACATGGAACATACCAATATCTTGTTAAAAAAGTCTAAAAAAAAATTTTAAAACGAATTAAACGATTAGCAAAGAGCACCTGGTGGATGTCGCTAACGCCTCGTTTGTAATGCTCGTCTAGGAACCTTGACAGCTAGTGACGGAGGTTGTCTCGTCTCCGGCCACGACGAGAGAAGGCGGGAAGGAGGAACTCCCCTCTTCCCAAGAATCCCTTTTGTGTGTCGCAGAAGTCGCTATTGTCCCCCTAGAAGATTATAGAAAATTAACCCGTCACTCAAAATTCATACAAAAGCAGCCGCTTCGGTGGCTGGAACGACTAGGCCATCCTCTCGACGTCAGCCTCGCCGTAGCTTTGCTCGTCTTGAGACGACCTACGTCACGATTGCGTTGGATGTCACGTGCTCTAAGCTGGGCCTTCTCCGAGCGCTTGCCAGAGTGGGCCGTTTATAACGAAAAATACAGCCACCAGGATCAAAATACAAACGTGCGATTGTCATTTACGGGTATTGTGGACCATATTCAACCTATTTTTGTACACGACGGGAATATTTCAAATTTCGTTGAAGTATCCCTTTAAGATCACCCTGGAGTTATACCCAAAGGATGGTGCTTTACCGAAAGGAGGAGAGATTAACTAACAGTTTCAACTTTAGGCCCTGTGATTGGAAATTGTTTGGAATGCAATCATACATAATGATCCACATTAGGCACATGCAATTACGAAATCTCTTATAAACAATACCCCCCCCCCTCCCCCCCCCCCCCCCCCCCCCGGTGCGTGCCCCGGACAACATGAGCTGCAAAATCTTGACGTGGCCTTTTTCTTTGTCGACGATTTCCACAACCTTCAACTATCTTTTAATTTGTCATAGTATTTAAAGAACGTTCCATGTCGCGGTTTTAACCAGAGATATTTTTTAGGAACTGACAGCTATAAAAAAAAGAAAGAAAAGCAGATAAACGTCTTGTAATCCGTATTTGTCCGCTGTAAAACATACGACAAGGAAATGATTTAAGTGGCTTTTTTTTTTCGTATAACGCCCGACCATAACATTTCAGCAAGGAAACAGATTTCCCTGTTTAATGAGATTGCAAAATTAAGAAACTGCGAAATTAGTTACAGAAATGATTGCATTTCATTTATTGTGTACAATATTGCTGTGTTTATATGAACCATAAATAGCACTTCTCAGAAACACTTTGGAAGAACAAAAACATTGCATTTGGCAACCACAGCCTGCCTTTCTTGCCATCCATTTCTTTGTCTTGCATTAAAACAAAACGTGCGGAAGCGCCATTATCAATTACACCATAATCCACATTTTGATCACTTTTTACTTCTACTGTAGTCATTCACTGGCTTCTCTCATACTTCCTCAGTCTACCACGGTTTTAATTTCCCACTCCAAAGCAAAAAGCACACAACAGTGGTCGAAAGCAGTTCAAGAAGATATGGGCATGACTAAACACTTCCTACAATCTTTATCGAAGAATGCTCGACCCCTTTTATAAAATGAGGCGTCAACTTGACTGCCATACACAGTCACATTAAGATGTCACAAGGTCATTTTCTCGAAACAATAAAGAGTGATAACTAACGTTTACCTCTTGCTACTGCACAACACACAGATGTTCGCATTAATACGCGTGACATTAAAGACACGTTGTATATTCCCACGTTACAGCGACACAGTTGCCACCCTGCGGATTTCGAACGTACTGCTGCAAGGGGTGATGTGACAGGCGTCTCACTGCAACGAATTTCTTTTCTATGCGTTGATGACCCGGCACGTCAACTTGGGGGAGTGTGTGTGTGTGTGTGTGTGTGTGGGGGGGGGGGGGTTGAAATTTAGGTTTTGCGCGCTTGAACCGTGCCACCAATCACGTCCTAAGCTTGTAGTCATTCCTATAAGCTACGCATTTTGCAGGGTGAGGGTAGAGGAATCACTAGAAATCTGTAAGCATTTCTTTTTTACACAACTAAATTTTTGGTCATCGGGAAACTCCGCTCCACTTTCGGACCAAAATCCTCGCGTTTATTACGTGGGACGCATCACCTGAAGTATTGGTGCCTAAACATATGGCCTGCTCTCCAAATACCATCTTGCCATTCACGCTTCATACACAAGCAAGCATTTCCAACTACATTTAAAACCTGGCACCGTGACTTCTTTCCAGATAATCTCCACTACTTCGTATCTAATCAAATTTCAAAAAAGCCTTCTCTTCATAGCGGCGAGTTCATGATTCTGTTACTATAGTCAGATATATCTTGGGCTGTTTGCATTCATTATGCACCTTTAATTAACCATACCCTTAAATAGTTGTACCTGCGGTTTCAGCTTTTGGCGCTGCAAATTCTTGCGTCTTACTTATTCAATTGGGTGAACGACACCGCCCCTTGAGCCGGGCTCACACTGCTCACACATCGTACAAAAGAAAATCTGCAAACACGAGTCACCACGAGATCCGTGGTTCGAATGCCGCGTGGCACCAGTTTCTCCTTGAACTCATTGCCATGCCGCATTCGAAGCACGGATCTCGCGGTGGCTCGCGTTTTAAGGCTGTCTTTTATATGATGTACGAGCAGCAGGACTCCGACCTCACAGTCGCTGGAACGTTCGAATGCCGGCACACTTTACATTTGTTCACTTGGACCGGTTCCGTCACCGATTTCAACAAACAAGTTTTAGGGAGTTTTAGTAGATCGTTCCGATACCTACGATAGCGATCCGATGAAGTGTGCTCGAGCGTTTCGGAGGAGTATCGGTTATCATCGTCAGAGTCGCCGAAACAATTTACTAAAAGCCTCTATTGACGAAGCTTGTAGGCAGCGTTCGCAAAGCAGTCTCTGCAGGATTAGAGCGATCAGTGGAAGCTTCGACGTCGGTAAGCCGCACTGGACACTATGCGAACCGGCTGCCGAAGTTCCGAGCTTTCGGACACCGCGAGCGGCGTGTACTGGTGCTGGCAGGGTCTGGGAGTGCACTTCATCTGGGCCCGGTCACCGCACCGGCATTCCATGCATGGCCCGGACGCCGACGGGATGACCTCCTGTGGCTTGTAGACTTCGCCGTCCACTTCGCAATCTGAAGGCAGGACGCAAATGCTTTCGGACAGACCGAAACCAGAAGTAGCAGTCGCAAGAACGGTTCTTAATAATAGGAATAGCCAGCACTATACTCCGCTTCACTTTCAGGAAGTGTCAAAAGTGCGTCGTCATGGCGCTCGTTGTCTTGTGGGTGTGCTGTGCGGGGAGCAAGTCGTCTGTTTCTGGCGAAGGGTTGCGGTGACGTCAGAACGACGCCGAGTTCTGATTGGCCTCGATTGGAAGGATGGTGGGTAGACCTCAATGAATGCCTTGAGGTCTATCCACTATTTTGTCTATTTTGTTTCTATCGGCCAATAGGAGCTTGACTTTTCAACGGCATCGCAACACCTGTGCAAGAGGTAGACCACTTGCGCTCCACAAAGAACTGCCATTACATTTTGCCATGTGCCAGGGCTATTGTTTTATAGTGAGCATTTTTTTGTGTACAAGCGATGACAGCGAAAATGCACGATGAAGCACAATTTGCGGCCTATTTCTATTATTAAAAAAGTATTGTATTTTTTCCTCCAAATTGAACAACAAACAAAACAAATTTTTTTTTGCTATGTTCATAGGGTAAATTGAATTGTTCTATAATTATGCACCGATTCAAATTCTCCCAATACATTTGCTTATAAAGCTTCTAGGGACGAACAGACACATCCTCACTGTTTGGTTGACCTAAACACAACTATCGCATTAAAAAAATCCTTTTGGTATTTTGTTTTTTGTTGTGTCCGTTTTAATTTATCGACTATAGTTCTTAGCACTGTAGGTACTCATATGGTAAAACTCTTAATAATGTAATGCATAATGTCTTGCGTAACGCCTATAATGTTATGCCTAATAATGTTATCCCTAATAGCGCTGAAGGTATTTGAATAAATAAACAAAATCATTATAGGCATGGTCGGCCTTACCCATCTGCTCTTCGTAGGTTTCAGTGCTGCTTGTGAAGGAAAAGCGAACCTCCTTTGGGGGCTTCTTGGTTGTCGGCGAAAATTGAACGTCTGTTAAAAAAGAACAGTTGAAGTTTACAAGTAGGCACGTAGCGGACTGGGGGGGGGGGGGGGGGGGGATGGGGCCCGCCTTCTCCCCCCCCCCCCCCCCCCCTGTCTGATATCTTCCATTTTGCTGGGACCTCCTCTCCCCCCTCCCCCTTATACAGCATTTTGTCATGGGCGCCCCCCCCCCCCTCCCCCCCCCCCCCCCCGAAACAAAATCCTTGCTACGTGCCTGTTTACAAGGATAGTAAAGGAATTAAATATCCACTGATAATGTGTTTTGCGGTTCTGTAAGATTATCCGGAAAAGAAAAAAAAGAAAAACAACAACATCGGCCAAAACAGGTTACGTTTGTAAAGTTCATTGGAACCAGGTCCTTAAAGCCAGGTGGGTCTCGGGGGGTCTTGCACCCCGCCGCCAATCTCGAAAGGTGGTCTGAGACCCACCGTCATAGCTCTGGCGTTGGTGAAAACATAATATTAAGTACTTCATCTTCTAATTAGAAATATTAGGATTTTCTCCATTGAAGTTTTGCTGTGTAGCCAACTCCAGAGAGAGAAAAACTATGTTGTGAGTAACCCATGTCGATTTCGTATGGAGCAAAATGGCCGATGTTTCAGGGACACTATTATTCTTGACGAGAAACATAATCGCAATCCACGTTGTTGGTCGGTGTTGTTTCCTGAGAAACGTGCCGGCTTACGCATACGCTTTAATCCAGTCAGGCGGAACGCAATGATAATCTTATCATCCACGTTCTGCCACTGCTAGCTTTGCGCCTGCTCCACGAGTGGAAACTTTGGAGCACCCCCAAGTGTCCCACGAGCTTCGAGTCGTCGTTCTAAAAAAAGTTGATTCAGTGGTTTTCGATGACGCTTAGTAAGCTTCGAATAGGTACCAGGTGTCTAATTCCACTAATTCAAAAATTTATTAACGAATTTTAATTAATTATCCGGCATCGCAAAGATCAGCCACCCACATAATGTCCCCCTGGCCGTATAACTTACCTGCACAAACCGCTTAACTGTAACTTTCAAGGCTTTTTTTTTTTTTTTGAAACAAATCTGTAATGCTTAAAAAAAACTAAAAACCTTTCTCTCTCTCTCTCTCTCTCTATATATATATATACATGTATATATATATACAGGGTGTCACAAAAGAAAATTTACACGGTCTTTTTTACCGCAAAAATAAACTAGGCATCGCCGAACGCTCATTCTCCGCCCAAAGGTAGAGCTGGAGGTCACAACCAGATGCCAAAGTTTCATCCCGATCCGATAACTTAATCAAAAGTTATAAGTGATTTTCTGAAAATCTCAATGGGAAAATGGAGCCCATTTTCGCCCGTTTTCGGTTTCTGGTGCCATAGAGCCCCATGTGTTCGAAAACTCCGTCGGCCGCCATTTTCCCATTGAAATTTTCAGAAAATCACTTATAACTTTTTATTAAGTTATCGGATCGGGCTGAAACTTTGGCATCTGGTTGTGACCTCTAGTTCTACCTTTGGGCGGAGAATGAGCGTTCGGCGATGCCTAGTTTATTTTTGCGGTAAAAAAGACCGTGTAAATTTTCTTTTGTGACACCCTGTATATATATATATATATATATATATATATATATATATATATATATATATATATTATATATATATATATATATATATATTCCTGAATATGCAATAAACGGCGCAATATACAATATCGATCATGAATCACCTTCGAAACGTAGTTGAGAACAGTTCAATGACACCCACACTCACGGATGATCACTTCAGCCGCACGAGGCAAAGAGGCTCGGTGATACCGTCCAGCAAGAGCGGCCTCCTTTGATTGTTCGCCATAGGCTCTGCTGAGGCTAACCGGACACTGGCACGTCGTTGAAGTGGAGGGGACAAGCGTCACCTTCCGCACTTGTCTGGAGTTACAAGTCTCACCGATACAGTTTACCTTAGGTTAAAATTTCACCTAAAGTTTGCCCTTCGTATTTCCTGCTTGGTGAAACAAACACAACGAAGTCTCAAAGAAAAAAAAAAAAAAAAACCGAGACAAGAGAGAGAAAAAGCAAAAACACAACAAAGCCTCAAAGAGGAAAAAAAAAAAAAAAAAAAAACAACGAGACAAGGGAAAAGAAGGAAAAACACACCTCGTTGTGTTAGTCCTTTTCTCTCTCTCTCTCTCCCTGTCTTTTTCTTTTTTTTAAGTAACAACGCTTAGAAGCTAGTTTGCGCCCTAACCCTTATTTTTGTTGAACGGGAAATGCTTATTTCGTCGATCATTTTTAAAACATATTTTTACTTTTTCTTTTGTTTGGAGCGCAGTTTTTTAGGCGCTCGTTCCCATGTTTCGCGGCGTCGGCGTCGCCGTCACCGCGTGCATTGCATTATGGGACGTCACAGACCTACACTCCAATTCCATTCCCCGCTAAATTTAGCAAAAAAACTAAATTGGTGTGGGGGAATTGTACAACATCTATACCTGTACATATAGATATTTCTTCCTCAAATTCTATAGCACGGTATATCGCAAAATCAAGACACCTCGAGAGCTGCGCTCTAATTTCGTATTACAAATATTTGTAAACGTCTTTCAATTTCTTTTAATCCACATAACGTTTTTGCTTTTGTTGTAGAATAATGTCCCTGTTCGTCTGCTTATTTCGATCTACGTGGGTGTTCACGATGACGCACAAATTGATGTCGTCAGTACTTGCCATTAACAACTATAGACGTACAAGAAGAATCAATGACGCTGAATTCCTATCGAATAGGTACGATCGAACGGACAAACCGTTGACCTAAACGGTGCGGACTCAGCAACGTTCACAGTGAAACTCTATATTGACATCTCTTACCACACTCTAGGACCGGACAGCAGATGTCCGGAACCTTGACTTCCCTGCAGTTGGGTCTGGGACCGTAGCTGGGACACTGCAAATCCCAGCAGATCACTTCACCGCGGAAACAGAGACACTTCTCGCAGGGGTCGCTCCTGGACACGTTGCCTCCGTGACTGTACAGCTTCCCGCCGAACTGACAGGTCGTCCGATCGCCAGTCAGGAGGCGGTTGACATCTGAAAGCGCACGAACGAAAAATCAAGGTCAACACACGCTTAAAGGGTCTGTGGCACCAGTAACTGGTAATCGGCGGATGTCAGTGGTCATTCCGCTGACGCTATTAAATTGGCTAGGAACCTACGTTCAAAATATCGGAACTCTCTTCCCCCATGGCCCGACGCCGTCACGACAGCCATTCGCTCGTTGGCGTGACGTGACATTTATTTACGCACCAGCGACTAGAGTCCCTTTTGAAAAACAGCGCGAATAATACACGGACAAGAAGGAGGGAACACACAGGAGGAGGCGTGTCCGTGTCCGTTTCGGTGTGTTATTCGCACTGTTTTTCAAAATGGATTCATACCAACTCGCCCAACTTTCCAGACTAGAGTCCGCCGAAATTTCGCTGCCTGTACACCAACACAGTGTTTACCAACAGGCCCGCGATTTCCCACACCGGGTGTGGGCATTGCGCGAGCGCAGAATCCAGATTTGCGTGAGGCGAGGCTTCTGCGCATGAGCAGTGCCGACGGCAGCGCCACCGCAGTAGCGCGATGTCAGAGACTTGACTTGGTCTACACTGAATCGCACGGCACCGCTCGCGACAGTTGTGGTACTGAAGTGTGACTCTTTTTTATCGATAGTTACTGTGTTAGTAGATCGTCCCGATATCGCTCCGCTCTGTTGGGAACTGTTCCAGCAAGCAGGACGACGGAAAGCATACCTTCCATCTTCCGCCAGCCGCGTCGTCAAAAGCTGTTAACAACTGGCAACATTGATTCTACGCACCAGTGCGTCTGGAGTGCCGTTACTCTAAAGCGTAGCTTATCTACGAGTTTTAGAATCGCGTACTCAAAAGCTTCGGCGTACGCGAAGAAATAGCGTCCTCACCATGCGTCAATCCAAGACGGAGGTATCGGAACGGTCTACAGTCAAACGCCGCTACAACGAACGCTTCTACTACGAAATAGCCTGTACAGCGGGCTATTTCGTTGCTTATCTGCTTTATTGGGGTCATTAAAGTGCGCGACAGATATAACGAAGTGACGTGTATAACGAAGAATTATCACGGTCCCACACGCTTCGTTATACAGGCGTTTGACCGTACATAAACTCTCTAATAGAGAGCTTTAGGGAACCGAGTTTGCATATTCGATACGGTATATGATGGTCCCTCCGATACGAACTGCGCATGCGCCACCGCAGAAGACTCCCATGTGAGCTCTTCGTATGTCGTGTCGGATGTGCAAAAACAGTTCCCTAAAGCTCTCCATTATACTGGTTAACCGTACCCGCGTCTAGTACGTAGAATCTTCGAGGCTAACGTGTTTTGGCTGGTATAAAAGTGTATAGTTTAATGTTGCTTACCGCTGCTTTGTTTACGCAGGAAACTGAACGATTTGCCCCTACTCCGGCTTCTGATGATGGTCCCATTCTTGCCCCTTGGAGCCGCTGCATCGGAAAAGGAGGAGGCAAGAACGTTCACCCTAAATCAACGCGAAGCTCAAACGCTGTAACCCCTCCCCCCCCCCCCCCCCCAAAAAAAAAAAAAAAAAAAATAAAAACAAAAATAAAAAATTATAATTTGAGCTAAAAATGATTTTTTTTTTTCACCTTCGAGGAGGGCCGCGAAGGAACACAACACGAGGAAGGCTGCAAGGCACCACCAGCACGTGCGGTCCATCTCTGGAAGAAAGCAGGAAATAAAGACGCTCTCGTCAGTTGCAAGTACTTTTCCTCTCTGGTAATGCTGAACACTCTCAGAGTTGCCTCGGATATATATGCTCGAAGTGACATCATGGCAAGGACGGACAAGTGCACAACGTGAAAGGAAATGCAGGTAGCTTCGTGAACCAATCGTGAGTCTCGGTGTCCTGTAGTCTTGCCTGATGTGGACGCAGCCGACGCAATGAACCCTTTTTTCAAAACTCCATCGAGCAACATGGGTGGCCGCCATTGCTTGGACACGAAGCACGTGATTGGATCCGAGTCGTCGCCGAACGTCAACGCAGCCTTTGCACCCAACACACACGCAAAGTGCGCGCCCAAACAATGGCGGATTCGGATGATTGGCGCGCCGCCGCTACTAGATGGCGCGCGCACTTTTGAAAAGGGCCTATTGTCCGAAGCGACCTCGACAGAGCAGGCGAAGCAAGCGCTTGCTGTACACTGAGTCACAATCCATTATCGCATCGCAGTCAATGATATTGCGGCAGTAGCCAATAAATTATTGCTGGACACGCGCCCAGTGGACACGCGCCCTCACTCAAGCGTACTAGACACGCGCTCACCACTGGGCGCGTGTCTAGTACGTAGTACGTAGAATCTAGTACGTAGAATTAGGAACACGCGCCCAGTGATGTACAGTGCTAATCACACTTGTCTATAACGCGCGAGCGTGCGGCTTTCTCCAGGGAGCGCTAGACTGGTGGCATCCGCGGAAACTAAGCTAGTCACGTGGCACAACATGGAACGGCCTGCTCGAGGGGTGTCCTGCCCACTTTATCAGCTTGATAAGCGATAAAAGTAAAGTGATTTACGATATATTTTTGTTTTTTGATGACGACATCGTTGATACCCCTTCATGCTTCAGTATGTTTATTGTTCGAGCCATGATGTTTGTAAAAAGCGTGCGAGCAGCCTTCCGCGTTCGGCGCCAGCTGATAGAGTGGGCAGGACACCCCTCGAGCGGGCCGTTCCATATGTTGCGCCACGTGACTAGCTTAGTTTCCGCGAATGCCACCAGTCTAGCGCTCCCTGGAGAAAGCCGCACGCTCGCGCGTTATAGACAAGTGTGATGAGCACTGTACCGTAGTCGCGATATATAATTGTGCAGAAACAGTTTCCTTAAGATAACACAAACAAGAATATGGGATTCATATTCTTTTCTTTGTAACATAAAACAAAAGTACGGTAACACGGTCCTATACAACATCCATACGAAACCCTGAGAGGGTTTTCTTGCTTTATGACAATTTCGATAGTCAGGCAACCGTGATCGCGGAGTCGGACACCGGCGTTTGGAGTGCGAACGCCACACCCCGCGCGAGAAGCACACGATGTTCTTGCTCGCACTGGTTGTAGGAAGACAATGGGTTAAAACAAACACAGCGAGCCTTTGCGTCTACCCCCTAATCCTTCCAATCAGAGCTCGGCCTTCTGACGTCACCGCACGCACTCGTCTCACTTCTCCTTAATTTTCTCTCCGTATGCCTAACTCAAAAATAGTCATGAACGTTATTACCCGTTCCTGTTTGTGAGAACAATGTAACGAGTCTCTCATTACATCATCGAAGAAAGTAACGTACTACCGGTAATTCCGTTACTTGTCATGCCGCGGCGCCGACAGTGGATCATAGACTCTGGAAGGGACTTCCTCGGATGCATCGCGCACTGGCCGTGGAACTCTTTGCGGACGTAGAGTCAGTGTCAGTCAAAACGGCATTCCTGGCGATGAGCAGCAACGTGCCGATGTCTATGACTGGTCCTGACATTTCCTCGAAGAAGACACGCAACTCACGACTTCTCGACTGTCGGCCCCATCAGGGGGAACAACACGCAACTAAAATGCAAATCCCGACCGTATTTTGTGGCACGGCTGTTAGCGACTGCTGACCGCTGAGAGGCACCACTCTAGAAGCGGTGGTAGCTAAGTGGTTGTTGTTGTTAGCGTTGTAGGAAAGGGGGGCGGAGAGAGAAGGGGGGGGGGGGGGGAGAGTCAATTGTCTATTCACTCTGGGCAAATTGGGAATGCTGACAACCCGGTTGGCATATATTCGGAGACTGGCAAATGTTAACGTTTAGCGAAACGTTAATAGCAATCCAGTATAAAATAGTGACTGTTAGGCGCAAAACTCGGACCGTATTGTTTTAGCTATAACTAATACCGGCGTTTTCTTTTTGGCCCCTTCCATTCCACTCAGAAATGCCACTCGACCTTGGTGTTGGGCTGCAACGAACGTTAGCCAGTGCAACGGACATTAGCTTGAGTGACTCGCAGACGTATACATAATGTATACCCCTTTCATGGACCTAAGCTGACAGCGCGGTAGAAGCTACGTGCTCGCGGGATACCACTCGTACCTCTCCCCCTTTCGCCACGTGATAACGCTCCCTCCCATCCTCAAGCGCAGAGAGCGAGGTCAGGTGAGGAAAAGGAGGCGTATGATTGGTCAGGCGAGGTATTCCCACCGCTTTGTCAGCTAAGGGACAAACGGAGCATAGCGTGCGCCATGACCTCACTCATCAATCCCCAGGGTACTTCCTGCGCCGATCCATGCGTCATTCGTCAGTCAACCAGGGGTCGTCCCCTTCGATGACGACGTGACAGCGACTGCTCTTGCCGCATGCACAGCCGACAACTACGGGGAATCCCGTCAAATGTCCGACTCTTCGAAGTTTCGTGGGCAATAGCAGGTGGCGAGACGGTGTGTCATCCTTGTTCTCGCTGAACCGCCACTTTGCTGTTATTAGTTCCCTAAAAGTTTGGTGGCGCTTACACTTGACATTGATGATACGTTCCTCTGACATCTCACGCTTGAGTCGCTTGAAACCCGACCTTGCGTAGCCGTCCATTTCCCGCGTGATGGACGTGTCTTTCTTCTGTTTCGAGCTTGGAGTTCCAGGAAACAGGAAGTTTTTGCTTTGTTTTACGGATTCATTGAGATCTGACGCAATAGGAGAAAGAGTCGTAAGCTCGACGATTCAAGACTTATAATCAACCTTGTCAGTGTCTATTTTTTCCCTCTTTTCTTATTTTTTATTTCTTTTGGCGGTATCGTGGATCCGTATATTTGGGTGTTACTCAGAATTCACACTAAAGCACACCGGTTTCTCTGGCACTGAACGTGCGTATAGAAGAATCACTGCGAGATTCACTGTTCGTTCGATGAACGGATTTATCGCGAATTTTCAAATTGTGTTCCTATAGAAACACAAGTGCAGTGTTAGAACGGCGTTCCAAGGTACTACGTTCCTGGAACGCGTTCGTTTCAAAAGCAACGGAGCAACGCCGCCGTTCCATCTGGCGTCGGTGGAACTGGAACGGGAGCTCGGGAGCTCGATCGTTACGTTCTTAGGAAAACGGCAGAAATAACAGCATTCTAGTTTTTTTTTATTTTTGTCTATTTATCTGCATTTTTACCAAAATTTAGAAGGCATTCAGGCTTTTTTTCTTTTTATTATCGAATATTTCTACCTCCAATTTCAAGGGATGGGGAAGTATCCGAGGGACGGTCGAAAACAAAGAAACGGAACAAACGTGATCGTGGATCACAAAGGTGATCGATGTGGATATTTTCACCCGCTCGCCTCATTTTATCTACGAATTATCCGGCACAACATTTTGTGGAAACAGAAAAACCTACCGGCAACATAAAAACACGTTGCAACATGACAAAAAGTAAGAGGAACGTGTTCTTTTCGGACCCGTAGAAGTTCAAACGGGAACTCGCTCCAAGATTACGAAGGAACGCGATGATCGCATTCGTTCCTGCTTTGGACTGACCCGTACAAAATTCGTCAGGATCTACCCACTATGCCGTCGGTTCTTCCTCAACTACCCATAATCTTTCGATCGCCCCCCCCCCCCCCCCCCCCTTTTTCCGAAGCGCTTTCTCTTCAACCCTCATCATCGAGGACCTTCAATGTGTGCTCTTGTTGCATCGGGGATCTCCATGTCGCCGGCAATGCGGAACGGCTGTTCGTCTGTTTTCTTACACAGGGGTTGCGACGACGTCAGTTTCAAACTCTTATTGGCTGATTGTACGAAAAAAAGAAAATAAATAACTAGTCGGTAGACCTCGAGGCATTTAACATTTAGGTCTGCCCACTATCCTTTCAAACGAAGCCAATCAAGGCTCGGCGACGTTCTGACGTTACCGGAACCCCCTGCGAAAAAAAAGCAGACAACTTGCTCTCCGCGTTGCCTTTCTGCCGTGACTCTGCTCTTCTGAACCAATAAAAGAATACCATTACTATAGTCATGCACAGCGTAAGAAACGCTGGGTGGGGCCTATAATGTTAACGTTACTTGCTTCGGAATTCGTTCTTCGACTTTTCTGTCGGAAGGAAGGTAAACGGAATAAAGGGAAACAAGAAAACTGAAGGTCGCTCACGGCGGCGCCCGTGCACAGCTGCTTAAAAGCGTCTAGTAACTGGAATCACCATAAGCCACCAGTAATCTTCCTACGCTTTGTTGCCTAAACTAAGCGAGGGCGTGCCAATCCACACTCTCATGAAGGGGGGAAGTGTGCGCGAAGACGAACGTATCTTTCGCATCGTGCGTGGCCAACGCACAACCCGGTCGTGACCCGTAAAAAGGCGGCGTATTCCAAGCTCGGCTTCCAGCAAACGCACTCTCACAAAACGTGGCCAATCAACTCTCGAAAGAAAAAAACAACAACAAAACGAGTAGTTTGGTTGAACGGATTTAATGTTAATATCGGTAATAATGATAAAAGACGTCTGAAAGTAACTGTAACGTCATTAGTCTCCTCGTTACTTCAGGAAAAGATGACTGAACTACAGACACAAATTACTTTTCTGGGAATTAACGCATTAACGTCGCGTGAGACTTGCATGGCCGTGACCTGGCGTCAAGTCAGGTTGCCCGATGACGTCAGTGGACTCCATGTCCTGGCATTGTGACGTCACGTCACGTGAAACCATGACGTCACTGTACACCA